GCATATAGAAGAAGTGGGCTGTAGTCCACGAAAGCTTATGCTCTAATAAATTTGTTAGTCTCTAAGGTGCCACAAGTCCTCCTGTTCTTCTTTTTGCGGATACAGACTAACACGACTGCTACTCTGAAGTCTTACACATAAACCGATGGGCTAGATCCTCCGGCGATGTACAGTACCACAACTCCTTTCAAGTACTCGGAACACTTCTGATTTTTACCAACTGAGGATCTGGCCCCATGCATGAAAAGCTTTTCTGGGGTATTGAAAATTACCATGGCATCTTCAATCTCTGCAGTTCCAAGCCTGTGACCGCTGATATTTATGACATCATCCATCCGCCCTGTTATTTGGTAATACCCCTCTGAGGATCTATAGGCACCATCCCCTGTGAAATAATAACCTGTAGCAACAAAGAACACCATCCCCTGTGATCAACAGCAGTTAGTATAATAATTCATTATCAGTATTTGTGGTTATTATTTTTATTATTACTGTATACTTTTAGCCCCTTTCAATCACAGATCTCAAAGCACTTTACAGGCACCAGTTAACTGAGCCACACACCACTCCGGAGGGCAAGGTTTTGTTACACCCACTTCACAGATGGTAATAGCCACCCACTTCTAATTAGAAATTTGTATCTTGGATGAGGCACTGGACTGGAATGCAGGAGATCTGGGCTCTATACCCAGCCCTGCCACAGCCTCCCTGTATGACCTAAAGCAAATCACTTATTCTCTCTGTGCCTCAGTTCTCTGATGTAAAATGAGGATAACACTCCTTCTTTTCTCCCAGTGAGTGATCTGTCTGGTCTGCTTAGGTTGTGGGCTTCAGCACCACGGGAATACAAACAATAATGATAATCAAGCATTCTGACAAAATCCAAGGACTCCTGCTGTCTCTCCAAAGGAGAAGTGAACGGCCCCCTCGCCAGCAGCCTTCTCCCAGGGCCCCACAAGGCACTGACGCCCTTAGCACTCTGCATACACTTGGCTTCCCTTCACACACACTCCTACAGGAGATCACGGGAGTTAGCCCTTAAACCCTGCTTAGGTGTTGATGTCATGGACATCCCATGTATGTTTATGACATGATGTCCATAATACCAGGATTTAGCTCCAGGAGAGGCTGCATGGTTCAGTGGATAGAGCACTTGAGCGGGACTCAAGACACCTGGGGCTTATCTACATGGCAAATCAATGGCCAGCCAGGGAGTGAATCTATAGCACACTAGTTTGACACACATTAACTGGCCACGTAGACAAGCCCCACGTTTCATAACACCCTTGAGAGGTAAGAAAGTATTATCAGTAAAGGGGATTGATCTACTCCAGGTCACACGGTGAGGTAGTGACAAAGCTGGGAAAAGAATCCAATAATCTTGAGTTCCAGTCCAGTGTTCTACCTGTTAGGTCGCACTGACTTCCTGATGGTTACTTTGAATTATTAAAAACAAACACACTTGTAAGACTGTTTGAACACACAACCTGTGCCTATCATAATGCACACAAACAGGTTTGCTTGGGTGTCAAACCCCCCAGCTTCAGAACTCTGATCAGTGGCAGAAAGACTGTCAAGAGGAATCTTTTCATCTTTATGTATTAAAAGAAATACTACTTTCAAGGGAAGTGATTTTGAGGACGTGGAATTCTGACACTTGGAAACTGTCTGCTGAAGAGAAAAAGATCAGCTGGTTCTGACAAATTGAGGTATTGCCGAACACATGAGTTTTCGGACATGTGCTGTGGAGATGGGTTTTTTCCACTGTTCCACTACCAATCCATCAATGCTTCTCCACATTTCTTTGGGTCATTCCTGCAATCGTTTCTAGGCATTATAAGGCAGCAGTGGAAATGATGGGTGAAATTAGATGGTAGTGTTTGCCAGGATGAATTAACTCCCAGCAAGACAGTGCAAGATGATCACAGAACAAAGATATTTTTGGTGGCACGATAATAAGAGGATATTTTTGGTCAGTCTTATTTTCGCAACAGAGAAAAACAACTTTCTAAGCAAAACAAGTTGGTTTGTAACAAATTCATCCCTCCCTAAGTCTTCATTATTATAATTGTGCTGCAACCCATGGTCCCTGGAACCTCATTGCACCAGCTGGAAGAAGACCAAATCCTCTGGCTCTAAGAGTACGTCTACACTGCAGAGAAAAACCCCACGGCTGGCCTATGGCTCATGGGGCTCAGGCTGTGGGGCTGTTTCATTGCTGGGGAGATGTCTGGGCTTGGGCTGGAGCCCAGGCTGTAGGACTGTGGGGTGGGAGGGTCCCAGAGCTTGGGCTACAGCCTGATCCCAGAGAGCTACCCAGCAATGAAACAGCCCTGCAGCCTGAGCGCCAGCCACGGGTTTTTCTTTGCTGTGTAGACAGACCTGTAAAACACAACTGCATTTAAGCAGTTTTGATTCAATCCAGTAGAGGGCAGCTGTAAAGAGACACAGTAGCCAATTCACTAGAACAATATCTTGTATAGCACTGCTGAAAACCTGCTGGGTACTAATATTGTAGTCCATCATTCTTCCCTCACACCGTCCTTACCTGGATACAGTTTGAAATAAGTATCTATAAATCTCTGATGATCTCCATAGATGGTTCTCGCCAGGCCAGGCCAGGGCTGTGCAATGCACAGAGCACCAGAGACGTCATTTCCTTCTATAACTCTTCCCTGTTGGTCCAAGCACAGGAAGGATCATCAGACCAGATGGGAAACATCCCAGATTAAAGGAAAGTAGCTAGTTAGTACGATCTAGCTATGTGGAGCCGGATTCTGATTTTACTCGTTTTACATTGACTTCAAAGGTGTCACTCCTGTTTCACACCAGGGCAAGTGAGAGCCCTTCACATTCTGCAGATTCACAGACTCGGTGTCTATTATTGCAATGGTTAATTCTTAATGTTTCCCACTCACATTTTGGCAACAATTGAACATGGGGGGGTGAGAAATGTACCCGCTAGAGGAATTACTGTGCATTGTCTGTGTCATGCTTTCATCATTCGTGCACACAAATAACAGAGCATGTGATTCTATGACTAATACGCTATTCAGACAAAAGGAAAGACAGGTGACCCCTTGGAGTGCAAAGAACAATACAAGCTTCACAGAATCCTACTCTTCAGCATTATGGTCCATATGCTGGATTCAAACTGGTGCCAGAGCAGAGCCCAGCTCAGTGGCAGAAAGGCTGGCACCTTCTTGATCCCAGAGCTGCCACGGCTGACTCTGTGCCCAGTACAGGCACAAGGCAGCCCTGAATGTCCTTGCAACAGCACCACATCACCACTCTCCATGCCACCCTCCCAACTCGCACCCACACGTCCCTGGGCCACAGCCTCCTGTGGGAAGGCAGCGTCCTTCCTAAGCCACCTGACAGCCAGGCTGAGTGGACTGCTAATAGCCCCAGAACAGCTGTTGGCTAGAGGGGCCAAGGCCCCTCAGAGCAAAGATACCACCAAGCAATATGAAGAAAGGGACACAGCATCAGTAACTCCCACAACCCAAACCACAGTAGTGAACTTGAGTCCCTTCCTCTCCCTCACTTAGGAAGTTACTGCAGCTGTCACATCACCAATTATCTGCCTGCCTGAGACAAACACTGTGAAGAGGAGTTAAGTATTATTCTTCCTATTTGATAGCTCAGGAAACTGAGGCAGAGAGGCTAAGGGTTAGGTTTTCAAAGGTATTTACATGCCCAAGATACAAATAGGTGCCTAGCAGGATTTGTGAAAGCATCCAGGCAGGTTTAGTGCCTAAGTCTTGTTGATTTTAATGGGCGTTAGGGGCCTATCATGCTTAGGTGCTTTGGAAAATCCCATTAGGCATCAAAATACCTTTGAAAACCCGGTCCTAAGCAACTTGCCTAAGGCTACACAGCAAGGCCCCAAGTTTTCAATCAGGCCTGTGTGGGTGGGCCCCTCAGCCCATGCCAAAATCCACTACAGCCTATGGGGCACTGCCCACACAGATCAGGCCCCAAATCAACAATACAGACTGGCCTGGAGCTCATACGTTTTGGGTCTTCACCCTGTGCCCAAGGTATTAGACAACACTGCCTCACCACCGGGCAATGAAAATATTCTCCCTGTGGGAAAAGGGGCCGCTAAGAATGGAGACATTTTGTCTAAGGTCATGTACCCAACTTTCAGAATATATATTTCTCAGCTGTATCAATGAATGACCACAGACAGACACGCCGAGCCTGACTCTAGTGGAGACTGCGTAGGGCACTGGTTATACAGAGATCACAGGAGGGTTTCATTGGCTACAATGCACATTCAGCATTGTTAAGGAGAACAATTCCCTACAAAGCTGTAAGTTGGCTGTGTTCCCAGTGCACTTCACTCACGCCAGTCCCATTGGCTCCAGCGAGACTGTGTGTGAGTAAAGTTACACACCTCTATGAGTGTCTGCAGCACTGGCACTTACATTATACAATCATCACTATCACATAGGAGTCAGTCCAAAAACATTACCGTGCTACTCGCCATTGACTTTCTAACTAGAATATTTAAATATACATGAATACGGCTTGATTCCCTACTGTATCATTGGAACAGATGAGGCACAAAACATTTTCCTAAATGCTTTTGGCATGAAATAAGGGAATTAGCCGGACAACCCCAGGGCAGCATCTCCGGCAGCTCTTGTCCTGCCTGTGCACCATTGCCCCCAGTGGCAGAGCACAGTCCCAACTCACGTTCTCATCCATCAGTGCCGGTATAATCCCAAAGAACGGTCTCATTGCCATAGCAGGAATGATGTCAGCTCCTTCCTCCGAGGGCCGGGGAGCAATGCAGATGCCTCCTGTTTCTGGAAGAACAATGGGAAAGTTAAAGAGGCTGGGACACATTGGAACGGCAGGGGAGGCTGGATAAAAGCAAGCACCTACTTTTCTCAGCTACACAAGACCAGCAAATTACAGACACCCTCCCAATTAATAACACTTGGATTGTTGTAGTGAATGTGATGGTCCCAGGATATTAGAGAGACAAGGCAGGGGAGGTAATACCTTTTATTGGACCAACTTTTGTCGGTGAGAGAGACAAGCTGACACCGAGCTGACCTGAAGAAGAGCTCTGTGTAGCTCGAAAGCTTGCCGCTCTCGCCAACCGAAGTTGGTCCAATAAAAGATGTTACCTCACCCACCTTGCCTCTATAGCACTTTGAGGCAGAGATACTGCTTTGCCAAACAGTACCTACAGTATACACCAGGGGTCGGCAACCTTTCAGAAGTGGTGTGCCGAGTCTTCATTTATTCACTCTAATTTAAGGTTTCACGTGCCAGTAATACATTTTAACGTTTTC